AAATATTTTATCAGATGACATTTCTAACTCTATCTTGAATCTCAAACATCAACTTGCATCATCAGAAAATACATCATCATTAATAGCAGATACATATAATAATTCTGATGCTCAACTATCCAATATTATTTATAGGTAATTTTATATCTATTTTTCATTGTTGTTAATGTAATATATTCACATTTCTGATTGCTATTTGTTATATGTTATTTTTATAAAATATTAACAAAATGTTTATCTTTTAAATAAGTAATATAAAATCTCAAATTTATTAAAAAAGTTAGTATTATAGATATTTATATTTATAAATCAGTTTATATGTTAGTACCTGCATTAAATAATACATTCAGTTTTTTGAAATTATTTATTTTGATGGTTGTGTGCATATATACATGCCACTAATATATTACAAATAATATGTTACTTACAAGTAGTATATTACAAATGAAACTAAAAAATTTTTTTACTATGCTTATGTTCTAAAGGGGAGGGGGTTTTATTAGTTTCTATTTTTTTTAAACTTATTCAAAAGTTAAGTTTTCTTAACTTTTGTTTTAATATCATGATCATTTTGCAGTAATGCTTATTGTTATTCTCATTTTTTTAAATGCATGCCCCTCTTTCAGGTGGCATATCTTTTATAGATATGAGTATCTTGTAGCTGAAGTGTTATTGTGATCTTTGGTTCTTTTTTCTTTTTCTATCTTTGAGAATATAGACTTCCATCTTTTTTTCTGATTATCTTATTATGATCTCTTTATCATGTTTTTTATGTATATAATTGTTTTGGGTTCTGTCATGCTTTAATTTGATAGTTATATTGATTTTGATTGGTTTTTATATTTAATTTGTTTTTGGTTTGACTAATAATGTCACAATTTTGACCTATTTGTTTACTGCTTCGGTTAACTTATTTCCCAGGAAAAGGGGATCTTTGTGATGTATCCAGATTGAGTTTCACAACAAATTTCTTTGGCCTCCTTCTGGTAAATCAGTTGGATAGAAATTATTAAGTCTTTGGAGCTGAGACTGTTTGTGGTTTAATTGATTGGTCATTCCTAGGACAACTCATTATAGAGGTCATCTGAGGAAGTAATATTGACTATATAGTTCTTGGTTATTAATAAAGCAAACAATTGCTTTTCTTTGTAGCTTTTCATGGTCAGTGGTGCAATCTGGCAAAACTGCCTCTGCAAAGACCTGAATTTTCTACCCCCAAACTCTTTTTTGAATATTTCCTGCTGTGATTCCAATTTTAGAAGGATCAGAAAAGGAAATGAATTGACTATCAACATTTGGCAAATTTCTTAAATTCTTTCAGTAGACCTTATGAAGATATTGTCATTTAATATTCTCAAAGGTTTGCATATTATTTGCAGCAACTTAAAAACAGTAAAAAAATTAAGATCTGTTGACCTACCAATTAATACACACATTGACTCAGATTAACAGTTTGATATTGATAAAATATTAAAATCCATGATTATTCTATGTTTATCAAAATGTTATAAATCTGAGGCTAGGTTATAAATCTGCGGAAGAAATGAAACAAAAATTACTTGATCAAGATGCTGATTTCTCATGCAGAAAAATAATGAAAAAAAGACCAGAAATAAATCCCACAAAACGTGTTGTATACAAATTTTATGATTTTGTTATTCTAAGAATTATTAAAGCAAATTATTTTGGTTGCTTTCTTAAATCATATATTTCCAGTCCTATATGCTTTTACAGCTATGAAAATTATTGTGCAAAGACGAATTGTGTAGGTAAACTAAATTGTTCATATTGTGCATCTCGGGATCACTTATATAAAGAGTATTAATCCGGACCAAAATGTGAAAATTATTAGCAAACATATACATCAATCTGAAAAATACCTACATCTCATATTGCCTTCAGTGGCAATAATTAAAAAGGCATTTTTTCAGCATCAGAATCAATATCAATGCCACTAGAGGGGGAAAATAGCCAAATTATTTTAGATGTTCCAGAATACAGCTATAAGCTTAAACAACAGATTATCACAAGTTAATTTTTAATATTTGCAGATGCATTAAACCTGCAATCAAACTTATATTGATTCACTGATGCTGTTTTATCCTATATGCATTTAATGTTAATATTTATTTTGTTATTTACACTTGTTTTTTTTTTAAATTTTACATTTTAGTATGTTATGCTTTGGAATAATTTTAAACCAATTTTATACTATCAATTGTTTGGTGCATAACTAAACTGGCCTATATAACAACACTTACATATTTAACTATTGTAACATTGTTTTTTATCTTTAAACAATTAGAATTAATTATTTCATTATATTAATTTCATTAAATATATATAGTATTTTTTATGTGTGTTTGTAATTGTGTTGCATAATGTTCTTTTATATCTATTTTATATAAAATGTCTGAAACATAATTAGACATTTTATTGAATCATTCCATTTTCTCCATTTAATCTCTACTGTACTTGTTTATCATTATAATGCACTACAGTTTTAAATTCTGTTTCATTAAAACATATGATGGTTTTTCATTTAAGGAAAAGAAAAAAGAAAATTGAAAATCCATCAAAGATAACTTTTACATGGTGGGAAAAAGATTTTTTAAGAGACCAAATAGGTGTCAGCGATATAGATGGATATTCAAGTCAAGTTAATAAATCAGTCAGTAGTATGTCTGTGAATGGCATACAATGGACACCTATAATAAATGAGGCAAAAGTGCCTATTTTAAAACCTAAAAAATTTTTACATGGTAGGTATTGGATAATATTTTAATAAGATATTTTTTCGTTATTTTTAAAATTCAGTCTATACTTATAAAGAATTTATATAATTAATATTTCTTATTTTTATTTAGGTAATTTAAAAACACTGCAACTAATCATTGATAGACAGAAAAAGTTTTATGAAAAAATTCAGGACAAATCTGAACTTGATACTATATCTAGTTCTAGTTATAGAGAAGAACAAGCTGTAGAAGTAAACAAAAATAAATGTACTATAAAAGTCAATAGAAATAAATCGGTTATCGAAAACAGAAATAAGTCTTCAGTAGCAATTGATTCTAAAGACAAACAGAGTTTAGAAAATTTGATTCCCAATAATTTTGATCCCTCAATACATATTAAACCTCTGCCTGTGAGAAAAAAGTGCCTAGTGACTAATCTACCCAAATACAGAGGTTTCAGTGTTCCGGGCTCTAGATTTACAACCCCTGGAAGAAAAAATTTGAAGTCTACTAAGAAGCTATCTCATATAAATAAAGGTAATTGTTTTCTTTTTTTGAAATTCCAAGTGTAAATTGAAATATTTTAATTATTTGTGCAGAACTTTATTTTTTAAACAAATCAAAATTGCAAATTTACATATTTATATTTTTTTAACATGTACTAATAATATAATTGATTTGTTTGTTTTTGGAAATATTTTTATTACATTTTGTGTTAAGCCATAATTAAGATTTATTAATGCTTATATTGTATAAAGTATTCATTATCTTTCAAAATATATATTAATGTGTTAAAACTATTAGTATATTTTATAACATATTTGTTTTAGAATTATGTTTAAAAACATAAAATGCTCTTATAATTTATTTTTGGTGAATATTTAAAAAATAAAATGTTTATAAAAAGTGTTTAGAACCTTTATAAATTCATTTTTAATATATATATATATATATATATATATATTTTTTTTTTTTTTTTTTTTTTTTTTTTTGTATTCTCTTCTTTTTTTATAGAAAACAAAAGTCCTATTTTAAAGAGAATAAAGAAAAATATTTCAAATAAAGAAGGAGGTTAGCTGAAATTTTATTATAATAGATAAGAAACTTCAAAAGTTATTTTTAAATATAAATAAATTAATAAGTATTAATTATATCTTTTTTTTTTTTTTTTTTTTTTTACATAATGTCTTTCTTGAATCGAGTGTAGCATTTTACAGTGTGCTTGCTGATTACATGAAGTTGCAATTTACTTATCAAATTAAATTTATATACTATTTATGCAATAATAACTCTTATGTTGCTTAGAAAATAGATCTTTTTCAAATCAAAATATAATTAATTAATATTGTAAACATATGGATGTTCTTTTGAAGTGTAATAGTTTTAAAAATGTTTAACCATTTCAGATTCGCACCAAGAAAAAGAAAAACAGACTATTCATGAAAACAAAGAACAATATTCCAGAACAAAATCAGATATTCAATCAAAAGAATCAACTAGTCCAAATTCAAATTCTCCTAATTCTAATAATGAACGAAGTAGCAGTTCTAATGATAAAACAGAAGAAACTAAGTCAAAAATAAGTAAGTCATCTTTCGTACTGGTATGAAAATTTATGCATATTTCTGTTGTATTGTTCATTTTCTTCTGCTAATATATTATTAATTATTTCCTTTCCGTTTGGCAGCATTCTCATATCACTGCTCTATCATTTTTTAATTATCCTACATATCAATGCATATTTTAAAAATAACACTACTTTTTTTTTTTAACATTTGTAATAGACCTTATATTTCAATGTATAATTTTTAGAGCACTTTCTAAAGCTAAGTTATGGTGTTTAGCTTATATACAGATTTGTTAATCTTACAAAAAAGTATATTCTTTTCCATCAGCTTGGCACATACAATAAATCACTGAATATCACTAATTATAAGCACATTTTTATTTCTTTAGTTTAGATTTCTTAAATTTAAGAAAAAAATAATTTTAAATGAAATAAGTTATTTATTTTATGAAAGTGAGTTATTTTATTTTTGAAATTGTTTTTATTGTTGGTTTGTTGTGTCATCGTCAAAAAAAAAAAAAAATCTAATGTTAGCACAATTTGGGCCAGTTAACTGAAAAATACCAAAACATTTTCAGAAAACATGATCGATTGCGATTTGCCCTATGAGAATATCTCTTCCCTCTCATTTTCAGACAAAAATAAGACTAGCACAGATTCCACAGATCATACACAAGACTATAACTGAACGGGCCAACGGCCATACCATGCTGAATATACCGGTTCTCGTTAGATCACCGAAGTCAAGCATCATTGGGCGCGATCAGTACTTGGGTGGGTGACCACCTGGGATGGGAACACTGCGTGCCGTTGGCATTCCCAAATTTGGGACCTGAATGTCCGAGTGTCTAGCGCTCGGTGCCACAGGTTTTGGGTTCGAATCCCGGCGGTGCCATGGATGTTTGTAGTGGTTCGGAATCCACCTTAAGCCCTAGGTCCCGGTCTCCTATGACTGTAAGAGCGTCACGGAGCCAAAGTCAGACTTCTACCTACGGGTGCTCCATCACAACAGAAGCTGCTTCCTTCCCCTTCAATCATGAGTACATATGAGCTCGTGGGCTTGGCCAGCCAAGTGGGATAAGAAACAACATAACTGAACGGAAATAATGTGCTAGCTTCATGTAAGGTTACCAGAAATATTACTATCATTATTGGCATCTAGCATTCTACTTTACAATGATTTGATTGGAAAACATTCCACCTGCTTTACTTGTTTGCCAACAGTTTTGCTCTCATTTTTCATTTCAGTTTATATACAAATTATGACTTGTGGGTAAACTTTTTGAAGAAAAAATGCATTCTCATTTTATGCATGTATCAGCTTATATTCAGAAATATACTGTAGTTAAACCTCATTCTCTGCAATATAGTATTGTTTTAATTTATTCAGAGAATTGTGGAAAATGTCAAAGTTAATAGCGTAATGCTATTTTGTTTAAATACTCTGACAGATGTTGAGAAACCTGTAGATTTCTGTACTTCACATCTGTTAGATTTAAGAAACAATATACTCTTGATTAATAATTTTTATTTAACTGCTGTATTAGAATTTTCTACCAAATTTTTTAATTTATAAAATTTTTAAATTCATTTTATTCTTTATAATATATTAAATGCATTATATAAGTTTACAATTTTTCTTTTGGTACCTATTTATTTATATGACTAAAATATTCAAATAAATACTATCATTTCTTTAAAGTTTGTTATGTATTTCTTTTTTTGTAAATTAATTTGTACCACAAATAATGTTTACTGAAATTAAATGTTAAGAGACATTTTGTTTTCTTAAGACATTTTATCTTATCATAATTAAAAATACAGATTTCGATTATTGTAAAAAGTTTATTGTTGATTAATAGTGATGACATAGAAATCATTATTTATATTAATATATAATACTTTTGACCAGTTTTAATAAATATATTTGTTTTAATTTTAAAAACATTTTGTTACTTTCATTCTAAAATTTTTTGAACTTGGGTCTTTTTTGTTTTAATTTCTCATGTTAAAAATATTTGTATAACATAGAAGTTTTTAATATAGCAATCAATTTATATTATAGTTAATGGTATTTATCTTTTTAAATATGTTTTTACTGCTACTTATATGAATAAATATCTTTTAGTAGATGATGTAAAAGAAGAATTGAAAACTACTATTTCCCCAGATTTAAATTTGAGTTCTGACAATGAAAGTGATTTACAGTCAACTGAAAATAATAGAAACATTAAAGAGCATCCAAAATTCACTGCAATGTCCAAAAGTGTTAAAAGAAAAGCAAAAAAATTTCCTGGTATGTATTATGATTTCAAATAGAATCTATAAAGTTTTATATTAATAGTTCAATAATCTTCATATTAAACTTCAAAATGGAAATAAAACCAATTCTACATAGGAATGAAAATTATACTATTTTATTAATTTATAATTGCATAAAGTTTGTAGAGGGGAATAATTTTCCAGAAAATTTCTGTTTATCGAAATTTCAGTCATATTTTGAAATCTTTGGATAATTTGAATTAATTAGAATGTTGTGTTTTCAAAGGACATTATGCCTAAAATAATTTAATTCTGGATTGTCTTTTTTTTTAATAGATGAAAACATTACCCCATCTCCTAAAATGAGGCATTATGATCCACAAACAGTTCGAGATTATATTAAAAAGAAGAAGGAAGAAAGAAGAAAAAGACATTTAGAAGAACGTAAAAAAACTTCATTAGAAGCCCAAAGAAAAAAGGAAAGCCTTCAAAAATTATATGAATATCAAAAAGAAACTATAATGCTTGGAGCTAAAAGTCCATCAAATAAAGTAAATATTGTTACAGTTTTATATATATATGATTTCTCTTCCAACAATTCACAATTTAGCATACATTGACATTATTACCAAAAAAAGGAAAAGGAGTGGGTAAAGATTTTTCTCACCTGATTGAAAAAATGTATAATTATGTTGTGGTATTCCCAGTTATTACTATTAAACCAATACAAAATATATAAAATGAATCAAATAAATAAAAATATATATTTTTATATTGTTTGATTTTAAAATTAATTAAAAAAATAGGCTTAACTTTCTTGTTTCTTCATTGAGAATAATTTATTAACACCAATTTAAATTACTTTTTTACTTCTGAGAAATTTTTTACTTTCTGATTATTTTTTAAAAAATTTATATATATATATATATATATATATATATGCATGCATGCTTGCATTTTTTGCAAAGTTAAGATCTTTTTTAACTATTGCAATGAAATATGGGTAAAAAGGGCCTTCGACAATATTGTTTTCTAGATTTGTGACAGAATCTACAATTAGTTCAATAACACCTCAATCACCTAAGATATCATCCACAAGCACTTCATCTCAATCATTAATGCTAAAGGTATTAAAATCATCTCCCAAATTTCATGTACAGAGCAATGATTTCCTTTGATAGAGTTGATATTTGAAGTAGATATATATTATTGTATTGCTTGTAATACATCATAGCCAAATTTTTTTTAATAGATATTTAAATTTATTGATCTTATTTTAGCAGAAACAGATACAACATAAATTAAACAATCACAGATAGAAAATTGTTTTCACATGTCTTTTACAGTCACTATGCATGCACACAGAAAATCATCCTGTTAATAATGGCAATTCTAAACAAGCCTTTAAAATACAAATTGAAACGAAGAACTGCATACTGGATATTGCGAACTATGAAAAAAATTAGTGGAATCCTCATTGTAAATTTAATTATTAATCACATTGTGGGAGAATTAAGAACTATAAAAAACAAGAATGATGTATGCAAAAGTCCTTTGTCTTTGCCAAATAGATATACCATAGAGATAGTGTTATATATATATATATATATGTTTTTATACAATGTATCCACATATAAAAAAAGACCTGACAGTATGTATATGTTTCCATAATTCTTTGATTAATTAGAAAAAGATTTATTAGAAATTATCTTTATTTTTTAAAAGTTCTTTTCTAATAATATTTTTTTTAATTAAGTAATTAAAATATTTATTAAGTAATTAAATTATTATTATTAAAATATTTATTTAATTTTAATATATATAAGTTAATTAACTTAAGCATGAAGAGCCTATCTGTATTTTTTACTTCACTTATTGTAAAAGTAATTACAAAAGGAATGTTATAAAAATTTAAATGTATTTAATTGTTGTAATTATTTTATGTGCATTTAAAATGATTGTTATAGGTGTGCAAAAAACGAAATGAACCAGCAAGCAAGAATATTGGAGAATTTTTACCAATTTCCAATTCAACTGCTGATTTTGTACTGAAACAAGAAAATAAAAATACTAAAATTAAAGATTTTCTAGTTCATGAAAAAAAATCTATTGCTCCTTTGATAAATAAGAAAAAGGATATGATCTTCAATAATGCAAAAGAAAGTCAAAATCATGCTGAAGAGGATAATTTGTTTCAGTTAGATATGTCTGCCAAACCCTTATCTGAATCTGAGAAACAGAAATTTACATCTGATGTTCCATTGCAAGAAAAAATTAATGCTGAAGTTAAATCAAAAATATTAAAAGAAAAGAAATTTTCCTCTCCGATTGAAACTCCTTCTACTTCTTTTCATAATGTAGCTGAGAATAAAATTAGTTATATATCAACTATTAGTACTCCTAGCACACTAAGTGAACTGAGTGATATAAATAAAATTTCTGAACTAAAATATGAAAAATTAGTTATTCCTAAAGGTAATATATTTTTTAATCTATTAAAAAATATTATTTAGTAAAATGTTGCTAACTAATAATAAAGAGAAATTTCTCTTATAAATTTAGTTATTTACTATTTTAAAAATGTTAGCTTTTTACGATTTCAATTGTTAAGAAATTTATTTATAGTTTACATGTCTATTTCCTCTTTTTTAGTTTCTTTGGAAACCATTTAATTCAAAATCTTTGAAATTTGTAAGAAAAACAGTGTAAATTAAAACAAAAACATACATTATTTTCTTAATTAAATTAATTTATTCAAACAAAAAAAGTGCACACAACATTTCTACTTTTAAGTATTTGATGTACTAACTTATGTGGAAAATTCTCCCTTTTTAAAATTAATAACAATGTTAAATAAATGAAAAATATTTAAAATTAAATTTTAGAAACCTGTTTTAAGCATAATAAAAAAAATTTTTTTTAGTCATTTTTATTTTTGAAGCTTTATTTTGAATATTATATGTAAAAAAAAATCATGTAATATTTTGTAAATTAGACTATAGATGTATTTTTACGTCTAAAATTTATAATAAAAATAAATACCTTTATTTGATTAAATTTACAATAAAAATAGGAGATATTTAGTCTTTGAGAAATTTAAAGTTTTAATAATATTGCTTTGTCTAATTTTTCATGCAACAAAATTTTTATTATTTTAGTATTTAAAAAGTAAGAAGTTATTATTATCTTCATTAAGTTCTTTGTTTTTACATGATAAAACAACATAAGAATTAATACCAAAAAAATTATGATTTTTTTTTATTATTATCATTAGGGATGGCATGACATTTCATATTTGCCACTTAACTTGGAGTAATGTTTAATCATTAAAAAATATGTATTCTTTGTTTTTTATTTAATACATCCAATTGATTTTGATACCCATTAAAATGTTTTAAAACAATTTTTATTTTTATTTTTTAATTAGGTCAATCTAAACAAGCTCAAACTCTAAAAAATCTTGTGAAATCTATTGATGAAATGACTGAACCATTTGAATATTTAATCAGGACCAAAAAATGGATTGAAGATAGTCCACCACCACCTGA